CCTTGTTTTGTCTCTTTCTTTCTTTCTTTCTTTCTTTCTTTCTTTCTTTCTTTCTTTCTTTCTTTCAAAGAATTGTGTTGGCAAACACCAATAATTGAGTATAGAAATAATACTTAAGAACAACAGGGACATTTTTCTTCTGTTTGGGTGACATACTTTTCTTAACTATAAAGATCAATTACTGAATAGTTTATAAGAGGCATTGCATTTGAATTTATAAATAATCTACCAGAAATAAAAATACCACTCTTGTTCTCTACTACCTTTGAATATTCATTTTGCTTTTCTTGTAGTTGATCCCTATATCAATTGGGAATAGGTTTGTGGCGTCACCACATAAGGGCATCTTCTTTCATGTAAAGGAGGTCTGCAGGTAAGCAGGCCAGAGCAGGAGCAGTAGTGCCACATAGTCAGACATTTGGCTTCCTCACCTCTGCCCTGCAACATGTGGCTTACATCTTTAAAGTCACCTCATGGCCCAAGATCTAATACTCTAAACATCCCAAAGAAAGAGAGACAAGGAGGAGAAAGTGTGCCATTCCCTTTAGAGGACTTCCTGGAAGTACTATGCATATTTCCACTTACATCTCATTCACCAGACATGAGTATATAGAATTGCCAGGGAGGCTGGGTATTTACAACTGGGCTTACTGCCTTCCTGGGGTTTTATTACTAAGGAGGAAAAGGGAAATAGGTATTGGGATAGGCAACTAGGAAACTGGCACAGTTTCTCCTACACAGTTGTTAAAGTTTTACAGTACAGTTTTATTGATCTTGGTAATCCAAAATATTTAACCTTTCAGAATTTTAGAGGAAAGTGGGACCAGTAGTTGGCGTAATGCTATGTCGCTAGACTCCCATGTAGTTGACCACAGTTTGAGTCCTGGACCCGGTGGCTTAAACACGCTGGGCGCATGTGCATGCGTGCCCAAGATCCCGAGAGGAGAATGGAGGAGAAGGGATTGCAGCGTGGCCCTCCCCCGCAGGGGGTGATTTCTTGCTTTCTGTCTCTGTCTCTCTGTCTCTCTCTCTCTGTCTTTCTGGTGAGTACATGCGCCCTATAGCAAAATCCTCTCAAAAAAAATTTTTTTAGAGGAAAGTTTCTAAAATGGCAAAATTAATGGATTACCTTCACAAGTCTAGACTAGGACCCTGGGATGTAATATCAAAATATCACCGCAGACATTAGACAAAAACTTCATGAAGTAATGAAAATTAATGAGGGACTTTTAAGTCTGGAATGATTACAGAAAAAATATCTCTCACCTCTCTCATCTTTCTGTTTTTAGGAGGTCAATGATCTGCTGGTTAGGGAAAAGATTATGCAACTTACTCAGCAAAGATCACAGATACAGAGTCTTCAGAAGAAGGTGCTGAGCTTGGAGGCTGCTCTGAGTATTATGACCAAAGAGTTTGAGACTGAAGTTTTAAAACTGCAGCAACAAGCAGTGACAGAGAACCAGGCGGGTCAGGTAGAAATTGACAAGCTGCAGCAACTTCTTCAGATGAAGGACAGGGAAATGAACCGGGTGAAGAAGCTGGCCAAGAACATACTGGATGAGAGAACTGAAGTGGAAGGGTTCTTTTTAGATGCTCTACACCAAGTGAAGCAACAAATACTATTTAGCAGGAAGCATTATAAGCAGATAGCACAGACTGCTTTCAACTTAAAAATGAGAGCGGCATGTGCAGGAAGAACAGAATATCCCAAAATCAGAACATTTGATGGCAGAGAACACAGCACCAATAGCGTGAATCAGGACCTCATGGAGGCTGAGAAATGGTACTAATAATACTCTAATGTATTATCTTTTTTTTTCTTTTAAAGAGATTTTTACCTTAGGGTGTGTACACTTGCTGGAGAAAGACAGAGACAGTGAGAGGGAAAGTGAAAAATCACCCCCCAGGGAGGATGGCCAAGCTGCAATCCCTTCTCCTCCATTCTCTTTCTGGGATCTTAGGAACACATGTACATACACCTGGTGTTAGTTTTAAGCCACCAGGTCTAGGACTCAAATCGCTGTAGGCCATGTGGGAGTCCAGCAATGTAGCTACTATACCATCTCCTGGCCCCTGTGTATTATCTTTTGTGCTGCTATTTTTGTGCCCTTTGAAGAAATGAGAAGGACCAGCAAATGGCGTAATGGTTTTGTTGCTGAACTCGCATGTAGTTGATCGTGGTTCTAGTCCCAGTCCCAAACTCATACCGGGCACGTGTGTGTGCGTGCCCAAAATCCCAAGAGGAGAATAGAGGAGAGAGGATTGCAGCATGACCATTCCCCCTTCCCAGGGGGTGATTTCTCTCTTTCTGTCTCTCTGGCAAGTGCACATACTCTATAGTAAAAATCTCTCTTTAAAAAAAAAAAAAAAAGGGAACCAGCAGTTAGCGTAATGGCTATGTCTCTGGACTCCCGCGTAGTCGACCACGGTTCGCGTCCTGGACCCCGTGGCTTAAAACTCACGCCGGGCGCGTGTGCGTGCATCTCCAGGATCCCGAGAGGAGAATGGAGGAGAAGGGATCGTGGCATGACCATTCCCCCTGGGGGGTGATTCTCGCTTTCTGTCTCTATGTCTCTCTCTGTCTGTCTGGCAAGTGCACGCGCCCTATAGCGAAAATCTCTCCAAAAAAAAGAAGAAGAAACAAGAACTTGGAGAAGTTCATTTTAATAACAACCAAGTATTGAGTAGATTTTCTCAGAAAGTTACTTGAGGACAGGTACTAACTTCCTTAAGCTTAGCAGAGTGTGTGGGGCTTAATATATATTCTTAGCAGGTTCCCCTCAATTGCTCATGACACACTGGTTCCACAGGACGTGATTACATCTTTTAGCTTGTTTCTTTTTATTTCCTGTAAATTGAAAATTGGTTACAAAGGCTTGGCTAGATTCAGTATAAGCATTTCTTTGAATTATCCTATTTATTACCATCATTATTATTTGTTTAATTTGACCAGAGAGAGAAAGGGAAAGTAGGAAAGCAAGCCTCCAGGTGCAGGACTTAAACTGTATTTGGCCATGTGGGAGTCCAGCACCCCAACCACCATACCACCCGCCAGCCCAAACATTTTTTTTTAATTGCTAGAGGGTGCATGTACTTGGGTAGGGGGGGAGTGAGTGTCACCCAGTGGGGTGTGGTCATGCTGCAATCCCTATTCTTTCATTTCTCCATCCTGTGATGATTTTGAGCACACATGCACATGTGCCCAGTGTGTTTCTCAAGCCATGAGGGCTGGGATTTGAACTATAGTTGGCCATATGAAATTTAGCTCTCTTAACCAGTAGGCCAGGGAGCTAGCCTGAAATTTCTGCTTATTTATTTAAGTTTGCCATAGGGTACATGTGCTTACCATAGAGGGACAAAGAGAGAGAGAAAGGGAAAGTGAGAAATCACTCCCCAGGTGGGATGGCCACTCTGTGATCCTGTTTTCATTTTCCTGTTGGGATTTTGGGCACACATGCACAGCATGTTTTTCAAGCTGCCGGATCCAGGACTTGAATCACATATTTGGCTATGTGGGATCCAGCCACCTTAACCACCACGCCACCAGCTGGCCTTGAAATATATTTTTAAGAATTATTTATTTTTATCTATTATTATTCTCTAATTTTTATTATTATTTCTTTAATTTTATTATTATTCTCCAACTTGCTATAGGCCATGTGTGCTAACCAGAGAGAAACAGAGAGGGAAAGTGAGAAAGCAAGCCATCCAGTCCGGGGCTTGAACTGTGGTCAGCAATGTGGGAGTCCAGCACTTTAAGCATCACACCACCCACTAGTCCCAAAATATTTTTGATAAGCATAATTTCACAAATATTTTGTGCTGTTCCCTTTACTATACTGAGATGAAATTCATAGGTAATATATAATTAACCATATAATCTTTTTTTTTTTTTTTTTTGAGAGAGAGATTTTTGCTATAGGTGTGTGTGCTTGCCAGGGAGACAGACAGAAAATGAGAAATTACCTCCCAGGGAAGATGACCATTGCCACAATCCCTTCTGCATTCTCCTCTCAGGATCTTGGGCATAAACACAGATGCACCTGGCCAGAGTTTAAGCCTCTGGGTCCAGGACTTGAACCACGGTTGACTATGTGGGAGTTCCAGCAAGGTAACCATTATACCATCTGCTGGTCCCAACCATATAATCTGTAAAAAAAAAAAAAAAAAAAAAAATTAGTGTAAAAATTACTTGTGCAGAACTGTTCCATGCACACATTGGAGGACATCCAGTAGTGCCTTGCAATCATTGTATTAATTAAGAATTCCCCCCCAAATTTTCTTTTTTTAATTGCTGAGTCTTGGGGCTCTTTTGCCAGAGGGCACATGTACTCACCAGAGTAAGAAAGATAAAGCACCTCCAAGAAACTTAAAAAGACTTTCTTTTGCTATATAGTTCCCATCTTATTAAGAGTACTTTTAGGGAGGCTGGCAGGTGGTATGCTGTGGTTAAGGTGACTGGTTCCCACATGGCTGACCATGTTCAAGTCCCGGACCTGGCAGCTTGCTTTCTCATTTTCCCACTCTCTCTCTCTGTCTCTCTTTGGTCAACTTTTAAAAATAAAATGAAATAAAATAATGACAATGAATAAAATTAAATAATCCTTTAAAAAAAATGCTTCCAGGGGCCAGCAGGTAGAGTGGTGTTTAGGGTGCTGGACTCCCACATGGATCGAGTCTCATACCTGGCAGCTTGCTTTCTCGCTTTTCCTCTGTCTCTCTGTCTGGTGAGAGCACATGACCTGTAGCAAATTTAAAAAATAATAATGATAAGTGAAATTAAATAAATAATTCTTTAAAAAAGAAAAGTGCTTCCAGATGGGATTTTTGCTCTACATCATTATATTTTATTTTATTTTATTTTTTCATTCATTTATTTTTTTTTTACATTTGACTGCCCAACACCTTAACCACAACACCACCTGCTGGTCCCCACTATACATCATTTTTGAAGGGCTTATTTGTAGGTTCTTTTGAATTATGTGGTTATTGGGAAGGTCAGATGTGTAGGTCAGATGTGTAGGCTGACATTGAAAGTCTCTGAAAGATAAAGATTCTTTATCAGAAATGTCACACCAAAACCTCTCCCCCAAAAAAAGAAATGTCACAACAAAATTTCTTTACCTTCTTACTGTATTCAGAAGTCTATGATACCACTTCTGTTAGCAAAAGATGTGCTTCATTTTCTCTTTTTTTATTTAATAAGTCCAGTAAGTTAAGTTCCTACCATACATATGACACTTTTCTTTATATCTTTTATCTATAGTATATTAAGTGTTAAAACTTTCAGGTTAAATAAAATGATTTTACATGTAGTTATTCAGAAACTGGAGTTGGGGCCAGTCCTGTGGCTCAGTGGTTAAGTGCTATAGGAAGTCAGATCTCACATGGTCCATGGTCCATCACAATTCAAATCCAAGCCCTAGTGTCTTAAAAACCACGTAAGGGGGGGTCAGCAGGTGGTGTGGTGAAGGTGCTGGATTCCCACATGGTCGACTGCAGTTTGAATCCTGGACCTGGCAGTTTGAAAATCATGCCAAGTGCATGTGCCTGTGTGCATGTCCAAAATCTAGAGAGGAGAATGGAAGAGTAGGAATTGAAGAAGGGATTTTAGAGGCCACCCTCCCAGGGGTGATTTCTCAATTTCCCTCTCTGTCTCCCTCTGTCTTTTCAGTGAGTACAGGCACACTATGGCAAAAATCTAAGAAAACATACATGTACACAAAATAGCCTACACAGGGACACGTGTATATGCATGTGTGTGTGTGCGTGCACAAAGTCCTGACAGGATGGATAAATGGCAGAAAAAGAATGAGAGGTGCTTCCTCTTTCTTCCTCTTTCTGGCAAGCACAAGCACCCTCTAGCAATAAAAATAAATAATTTAAAATGCTAAAAAAAAAAAAGCCTATGAATAACAACTTTTTTTCTTGTTCTCTTTGTCTTTTTGTATATCTGATACATAATGTTACATTCAAATTTTCTATTCTGTTTACTTCCTGTTTGAACATAAATACTTTTCAATGTTGTTACAGCTTTAGTCATTTTTATCTTAATAGCTACATAATATTTTGGACTGGCTAGCAAGATGATATTCTTTTCAACATTATGGCTTTGTAATGGACTTAGTTTGCTTTGTAGTTATACAATAGTCAGTTATGGTATGGAATTTTTCTTACACTTACACAGTTTATAATTTTAAAAAGAGAAGCTTACTCTGATCATACTTTTTCTTTTCACTTTTTTCTTTTGAAATTCTTTAGGACAAATATTAAAGGAAATGTGGATATTGGAGAGTTGACCTGGGAGCAGAAGGAGAAAGTCTTGAGACTGCTCTTTGCAAAAATGAATGGCTATGCTCCAAGGTAACTCCTTATTTCTGCAGTGAAATACCAAGTTATCATCAAACTTAGAAATCACATAGAAATAATGAACTTGGGGCCAGCAGACGGCGTAGTGGTTACATTGCCAGACTCCCACATGACCGATCACGGTTTGAGTACTGGACTTGGTGGCTTCAGACTCACATTGGGTGTGTGTACGTGCGTGCCCAAAACCCCAAGAGGAGAATGGAGGAGAAGGGACTGTGGCATGGCCATCCTTCCTGGGGAGTGATTTCTCACTTTCCCTCTCATGTCTCTGTCTCTCTCCAGCGAGCGCATGTACCCTATGGCAAAAACCTCTAGAAAAAAAAAAAAAAAAAGAAAGAAAAAGAATTAACTTATTCTTACTTAGAATTAAAGGAATGGCGGGGTCAGCAGATGGCATAATGTCTATATTGCTGGACTCCCATGTAGTTGAATATGGTTCAAGTCCCAGACCTGGTGGCTTAAAAGTCACACTGTGTGTGTGTGTGTGTGTGTGTGTCCAAAATCCCAAGAGTAGAATGGAGGAGAAGGGATTGTGGTGTGGCTATCCCCCAGGGTGTGACTTCTCACTTTTCTGTCTTACATCTCTGTCTCTCTGGCAAGCATGTGTGCCCTATAAAAAAATCTCTCTTAATAAAAAGGGAGGGACCAGCAGTTAGTGTAATGGCTATGTCACTGGACTCCCACATAGTTGACTGTGGTTCGAGTCCCCGACCTGGCGGCTTAAACTCATGCCAGGCACGTGTACATGTGTGCCCAAGATCCCAAGAGGAGAATGTAGGAGAAGGGATTGTGGCGTGGCCATTCCCCTGGGGGATGATTTCTCGCTTTCTGTCTCCCTGTCTCTTTCTAGCGAGCGCACACGCCCTATAGCAAAAACCTCTCCAAAAAAAAAAAAGGAATAGGAAAGGCCTAAAATATATAAAAGAATCCACAGCTCAGCTACTGCAACTTCCAGAAATAAAGAATGGGAGATGAATGAACAACCATTGAAAATGAAAGATAAATTAGAATTAAAAGGAAGGGCGAAAGCTTAATAGATGTTTAACTTACTAAGAAGTTACAACACTGCACAGTTGAATGCATGGAAACTAAAGTAAAGCTTAACAACTGTTAAGATTTTAGAGCTGGCAAGTGGCATGGTGGTTGGACTCCCCCATGCCAACTGCGGTTTGAGTCCCGGACTTGGCCACTTGCTTTTTCACTTTCTCTTGCTCTCTCTCTCTCACTGGTCAAATAAAAAATAATAATAACAAATAAAGTTAAATAAAGAAAATAGTTATTTTAAAAACTCTTAAGATTTTATTAATTTGCAAAGGTAATTTTGTTTAAATTGGTTTTTAGTCAAAGGACTCTCTAATACAAGAAAGAGAACTATAGAGAGGAAAACAAATCCACAGGTACTCCAAATAATTTCTTTACCGATTTACTTTCTCCTTGTGTTATCAATGGCCATATCCTGATACTAAACAATAAAGTAGCTAAAATAAATTAAGCATTGTTTGTTTGCTACATGCTTACCACTATGGTAGGAACTCTCAGGGTTTCAAAAAGATGAAGATACTGCCCTTGAACTCAGAGAGTTTATAATCTAGCTGCGCAAACAAAACCAACTCTAACACATTAGATGGTATGGTAAAGTAAAACCAGCATTCAGACAGTATGGCTAGAGTAGTCAGGCAGGACATGTCTGAACAGTGTGACTGTGGGATAGTGGGTGGAGAGAGGGCACATCAGGTAAGTTGGCTAGTACAAGCAGAAGCACAGGGATAGCAATGAGCATGGGGTGTTCAGGGAACATTTAGGAAAAAACTACTTGGTCTAAGAAAATGTGTGATGCTGAGGTGCAATTAGAAATAAAGTTCAGGGCCAGCAGGTGGTATATATGTTAAGGAGGCTGGATCCCACATGGCTGGCTGTGCAGCTCGAGTTCCAGATCTTGCAGCTTAAAAATCATGCTGAGAGTGTGTGGGTATGTACCCAAAATCCCAAAAGGAGAATGGAGGAAAAGGGATTGCAGCGTAGCCATCTCCCCCACCCTGGGGAGGGAAAATTTCTCACTTTTCTTCTCTCCCTGCATTTCTCTCTCTCTGGTATACCAACAATAAATTTTAAAATATTAAAAAGAAAAAGGAAATACAGTTTAACCTATAAATTCCAAGCCTTAATGTCCATGCAGAAGAGCCTGAACTAAATGCTAGAGAGTAGTGTGTAAACCTCCTTTTCTTCAGGACTAAAACATACTCTTATAGTCTCTTATTGGAAGAGTTCACAGGTCAAGGTCAGAGTTCTCAGGAGATATTCACCGAGCACAAGAATAATGGGTTGGAAGGTCAAAAACTGGGGGGAAACAGCTGAGGCTGCCACACTATTCTGGGCATGCGGTGGTGAGGTGAGAGGTCTAGGCAATAAAAAGGGGAGAAACTAAGAAAAAGGAAAGAGAAACAGGACTTGGTGACAAAGGACAAAAAGAATAGAAGAGTAAATGTTTTACGTTTTTTAGCTTAAAGTAAACAATGGGGCCAGCAGGTGGTGTGATGGTTAAGGCACTGGATCCCACATAACTGACTCGGCAGTTAGTCCCAGACTGGATGTCTTGAAAAACATGACAGGCGTGTGTGCATGTGTGCCCAAATTCCTGAGAGAAGGGACTGAGGAATGACCGTTTCCCTCAGGGAGTGATTTCTCATTTTCCCTCTCTTTGTCTCTCTAGTGAGCACATGTGCCCTATGGCAAAAACCTGAAGAAAAAAAAACCTTCAAAAGTGCCCACACTATAATACTTTTACATTCTTACCATATTCAGAGCTCCATAAATACCACTTGTTAGCAAGAGATTTACTTAATTTCCTTATTTACTGAATAAGTAATTTTAGTTTCTACCATACATAAGTTTTCTTTACATATTTTGTCTACAGTATGTTAAATGTCATAACTTTAAGAGGAAGTTAAATAAATGATTCTACATTGTTATTCAGAAACTGAACTTGGGCCAGTTTTTATTTAATTCATCCACTGATTCATTTAACATACATGCATTGAGTGCCTGCCGTTTATTGAGGATATAATGCAAAAAAAGCATGATGCTTAATCTCATGAGGTTAATAGCTGTTATGTATCAGTCATGTTCATCTTTGTGAATGTTTTGATTTCTTGAGAACATGTATCAACCTATTTATTTATTTTAATTTGACCAGAGAGAGACAGAGTGACAGAGAGGTAAAGTGAGAAAGCGAGACACCAGGTCCAGGACTCGAATTGCAGCACCCTTAACCACCACACCACCTGCTGGCCTCTCAACCTTAATATATTAACTAGCCTAATATTATACATCTGTGTGTGCAAAAGCTCATTTTGAAAGTAAGCCCATGCAACCAAAGCATATCACTTAGCCCTTTAAAACTACTTGAAATATGAGGCTCTAAGGAGACATTGCTTTACTTTTTTGACTTTTATTCACCACAGGAAATACAGCCAGAATTCTAGGCCTCCAGTCCCAGAATATATTGTTTCTGATGGTGGCGAAACACAGGAATTGGGGTAAGTTCTCTCTTGCAAAAGTAATGAACATGAGGGGAACCAGCAGTTAGTGTAATGGCTATGTCGCTGGATTCCCACGTAGTCAACCGCGGTTCATGTCCCGGACCCGGTGGCTTAAAACTCACGCTGGGCGCGTGTGCGTGCGTGCCCAAGATCCCGAGAGGAGAATGGAGGAGAAGGGATTGCGGCGTGACCATCCCCCCTGGGGGGTGATTTCTCGCTTTCTGTCTCTATGTTTCTCTCTGTCTGTCTGGCGAGCGCACGCGCCCTACAGTGAAAATCTCTCAAAAAAAAAAAAAAAAGTAATGAACATGAGCATGATTACATTGGTTCTTGTGGGCATTTTATATGTGCTAGAATTGAGAGTTCTGTGTCAAGTCTTGTTCTAAATGAAGTTGTGTGTGTGTAGCTGTTGTCAGCTCTGTTGTTTTGTCATTTTTGCAGGGATGAAAGCAAGCCTCAAGATCAAGTCTTCATCACCCAGCAAATTCCAGTATCAGAGCCTTCTGAAGAAAAGGTGCTTCCCAATATTCCAAAAGGATCACAAGAGTCTGACATGGTAAGGACTCTCTAATCAGCCCACATACCTGTTAACCTGCCCTGTGCTGCTTCTTGCTAAGTCAGTTTCCTTTATTAACTAGGAGCCTTCAGGATCAGTGGAAGAGTAACAGTAGTACTATTATGAGATCATGGCAATTTTTATAACAATAACCATACTGAAGGCATGTAATAATTAATGTAAATGTCTGTTTATGCCTTTTAGTGTGGAAAACCTATAGATTGCCATGTGAAATAAGCAGCCTAGGAGGCCAGCAGGTGATGTGGTAGTTAAAGTGCTGGTTCAAGTCCTGGACCAGGCAGCTTGCTTTCTCACTTTCCCTTTCTCTCTTTCTCTGGTTAAATTAAAAAATAACAACAAAAAATGTCATTAAATAAATAATTCTTAAAAAAAAAAAAACAGCAGCAGCCTGGCTAAAATATAATGTAAGAGTAAGCATAGTGACCTTATATCTCCTGGCTTTGGATGTAGGTGGGAAATCTGAGTCATTACAACTTAGGGAAACGAAGGCATTATAAGGAATATGGCACCATTAAAAAAGAAAGCCATGGGCCAGCCGGTGGCGGGGTGGTTAAGGTGGCTGGGTCCCACATAACCAACTGCACTGTTCAAGTCCTGGACCCAGTGGCTTGGGAAACACTGGGTGTATGCATGAGCATGCCTGGGGTCCTGAAAGGAGAATGGAGCAGAAGGGACTGCAGCATGGCTATCCCCCTGGGGAGTGATTTCTTACTCTCTCTCTCTCTGGTGAGTGCACATACCCTATAGCAAACAAAAAGTAAAAAAATATATAAAGCCATGTTTTTCTCATTAAAAGCATTTTATTTGTAATTTCTTACTTACAATCAATTCACAATGTGTAGAATATGAGAAATTTCAAATGAAGCCATATCAGAACAAACAAAATAAAATACTGAATTTTCTAGCTGCTACTATTATGAACTAGAACTGTACAGATTTTTTCCCCATTTAAGAAATAAGAGAGTCTTCTGAGCAGCAAGTAGCTGGCTAAATGAGTTGATTCCAATCACAGCACACAGTTTGATCAGTCAATATTTTTAAAACAATGGTTTTTGTTAACGTAAGGAAAATATTAGGAGTCTACGTGATTATATTTAATTCCAGTTGGGAATCAGAAAATAATGATCTTTTATTCAACCCAGCCTATAGTTGTTGAATTGGATTAACTATCATTACCAGTTGCCAGCTGTGGTAAGAGATAAAATGTGAGACATTTTATTCTTAAATTATAATCTTCTATTGTCTCACCTTTAAGAAGGCAAATCTTGGGACCAGCAGATGGCATAATGGTCACGTTATTGGACTCCCACATAGTTGACCGTGGTTCGAGTGCTGGACCTGGTGGCTTAAACCTCACGCTGGGTGCATGTACGTGAGTGCCCAAGATCCTAAGAGGAGAATGGAGAAGGGTTTATGGCATGGCCATCCCCCCCCAGGGGGTGATTTCTTGCTGTCTCTCTGTCTTTGTCTCTCTAGCGAGTGCACGCACCCTACAACAAAAATCTCTCTCTCAAACAAAAGGATCTTTTCTGTTCAGCATATCAGTTTCTGTTATGACTAAAATTTAGACATATGGGGCCCAGCAGTTGGTGTGGAGGGTAAGGCAGCTGGAACCCACATGGCCAACTGTGTGCTTCAAGTCCCAGAGTCAGTGGCTTAAAACAGGCGTGTATGCATGCCTAAAATCCTGAGAGGAGAATGGATTGCAGTGTGGTCAATCCCTTTAGAAGGTGCTTTCTCACTTTCCCTCTATTTCCAGGGAGCACATGCGCCTTCTAGAAATGATTAAAAAAAAAAAAAAAAAAAAAAAAGCTTAGATATATCTAAGAAACAAAAAGCATAGAGACAGTCTAAGAGTCTTAAGTATTTCTTTTTTACTACTTTACATCATAAAAAGCTTTGAAATGTCTTATGCCCTTGACTCAATTACATTAAAAAGTATCTCAATTATAAGAATTCTTTCATTAAAAAGTATCATTAATGAGAAATGTAGGCAAGAGAAAAGAACCACAGAAAATTCAGCAAGTAATATCAAGTTACACTTGCTTAAGGCAAGAGTTTGACCCACTTCCATGGGTGAACACTCCTTGGTTTCTAAACTTATACATTCTGAAATAATTTCGTAAGCAAACTGTTTGCATCAAACCTGATTCATTAATTAATCTGCAACTGGAGTATTAATGATTGCTGAAGCAAACCCTAAAACTTAACTTGGCACATATAAAAAGATGATTTATCCATTTTATATTGAGGTATCTTTGAGGAGTGATTTTAAATGATGATGATAATTAAATAGTGGTCATGACTAACCAGGACAACAAAGTATCATTGACAGACAAGAAAGAAGCAGTTGTCATAACTTTGGGATAAGTGGAAATGGATTATATCTGTGTAGTGTGAAATCACAGAGGCTCAGGGGCCAGCAGGTGGCATGGTGGTTGGGCGTTGGACTCCCTTGGTTGGCTACGGTCTGAATCCTGGGCCTGGGGACTTGAAGATCACACAGGGCACGTGTGCATGTATGCCCCAAATCCTAAAAGGGCAGTAGAAGAAAAGGGTTTGCGGCATGGCCATCCTCCATGGGGTGATCTCTCACTTTCCTTCTGTCTCTGTCTCTCTCTGATGAGTGCACACATACTCCCTAGAGCAAAAACATTAAAAAAAAAAAAAGAGGTTCAGGAAAACTTGGCAAAAGGATCTCCCTATTGGCTTTTATGTACGGCTGTGTTTGAGGCTCAACTGGAGAATGAATTATCTGTGCTCCTCCATCTAAAAGTAGTGCTTCCAATTATTGGAAGATCTTTGTATTACATTGACTTTCTCTTCCTTTACGTCATCAGAAAAGGGAAGAAGTTTCAGAAAGCAGGTCTAAACTCTCACTCCAGATAAGCATTTCACAGTTAACAACAGTTACCTCAAAAACAGAGGTATGAGAGCAAGTGAAAATCTGGTTTCAGTGTTACACTAGAACATGAACATTTCTCTACAGCAACTTTGCAGCAACTGACAGTCTTGAGAAAGCTTTTAGCGACATTTTCCAATCCCAGGGATCTGATCTGAGCAAAGTTGGCCAATGAAGTTGGTCAGGAATAAAGGGAGATTACTCAGGACAGACCAAGTCTTAAACTTATTTTAACGGCCCATAGTAGGCATGACAACAGCAGGTGAAGAAAGAGTAGCATCTTCTTCTTTCCACTGAGAAGTGATGGTCTTTAGTTGAGTGTAGAACTGGATGCCCTAAAAAGAACAAAGAAAAAAAGAGCATATATTTCTGAGATGTTTTTTTGTTTTTTTTTTTTTTTTTTCCCATGCAGCCAGTCTGTGTCTCTCTTGATTGGAGAATTTAATCCATTAACATTCAATATTATCATCGATATTTCCAGATTTATCCTTATCTTTAAGTTGACCCTTGTTGTGGTTGTCTTTTATTCCCTTATTTCTGTCTGTTCATTCTTTAGTCTTCCTGGAACAGGACTCTCTTCAGATTTTCTTGAAGAGCTGGTGTGGTGTTGGCAAATCTTTTCAGGTTTTGTTAGTCTGTCTGAGATTTTAACCTTTTTTTCCCATATGAAGAATAATCTTGCTGGATATAATAATCTTGTTTGAAATTGTTTCTCTCTTAATAGTTTCAATATATCTTCCCATTCTTTCCTTTCTTGCATTGTTTCCATTGCAAGGTCCTGTGTTAGCCTGATGGTATGACCTTTGTAAGTCACTTGACATTTCTCTGTTGCCAATTTTAGTATCTTGTCTTTATCTTGGGCTTGGCTGGTCTGGGGAGGATCTTCTTGGGTTGATTCTATTTGGGATCCTTTGTATTTCTTGAGTCTGGATGTTTGAATGCTTCTCTAGACTTGGAAAGTTTTCTTCTAGGATCATGGAATAGAGTTTCCATGCTCTTATTAGCTTCTTCACCTTCTGGGATACTAATTATTTGGAATTTTTGACATTTAATGGAATCTAATATTTTTTGTGTATATCCTCATTTTTTTTTTAACTTTCTCTATCTTTAATGTGTTCCCCCCTCAGGTCAGAGGTTTAATTTTCTACATCTGAGATTAGATCTTCAGCATCATCTAATCAGCTTTTAATACTTTCGAGAGAGTTTTTGATTTCCTGTTTTACAGACTTTAATAGTTCCAGCTGATTTTTTTCTAGTGTCCATTTCTTCTTTCAGTTTGAGGAAGGACTCCCTCATCTCCTGGAGTTGATTTTCTCTTTTCCATGCCAACTCAGAGTTTTGTCTATATTCTGCAACTTCTAGCCATGGGGTATTATATTCACTTTTGAATTTTATTAATTTTATTTATTTATATTTTTTGGAGAGGTTTTTGCTATAGGGTGTGTGCACTTGCCAGACAGAGAGGGACAGAGAGACAAAAAGCGAGAAATTACCCCTTACAGGGGATGTCCATGCCACAATCCAGTCTCCTCCATTCTCCTCTCGGGATCTTGGGCATGCACACACACACGCACCTGGCATGAGTTTTTTAAGCCACCGGGTCCGGGACTCAACCCCTATTTCTGGGAGTTTTATGATTCTTTTAGTTACCTTTTGAAGGAGCTTCTGTGAATTGCTGAGGAATAGGCATGACCAAACTCCAATATATTGTTATGAGATAATCTGCTTAAAACATTAGCATAATATAGTAAATGGTCAAATGTTAGCCATCATAATTATGCTGAATTATGATGCTGAATTATGTCTAAGCCTAGAACACCTATTATACGTGGAAAAACTGAATGATGTCATTTGTTAAACTTGCAGATCATTCTGCTCCTAGAGTTGAAATCTTGTGCCCCAAAGTCAACAGACTTGGTTGCAGTCCTGCCTCTAGTCCTTGCTGCAGTTTAACCCGGAGCCTTTTCTGTATGACCCAACACCCACCTCACAGCAATGCTGTGAGGAGAAAATGAAATGAAATACAAAAATATCCTAGCAGAGTAACTGCTGTTTAGCATTTGCTAGTTTTTCTCTCCTCATGAAGAAAAAGGAATAAAGGATTGAGATATATATTAGGCCATTTCTGATAACTGGCAGTGATAATGAGCTTTACATTGAATAGGCAAACCCAAAATAATCTTACAAATCTAAAATGCCTGATATTATACAAATCCACTTTTAAATTACTTATAGCATGAAAAGTGTCAGCACATTTTTAGATTTATATATACACAGTTTATTTTATAGGAGTGGGCTTAAGCAAAAGAGAATACATTTTGCAGATCTAACACCTAGAAAACTACTAGCAAGCTTGATTAAAATGCTCTTCTAGAATTATTTGACAGACACCTCAGCCATTTTAATATATTAAATATAAATATACAGATTATTTGCTTTCAACATAAAGATATATTATGTAAAAATGATCCTTTCATGTGTTCTTTCCAGAATGCAAAATAGCAATTTAATAACAAAGGAAGGATTTAAGACTTCACACTGAGGCCAGTCTTTTCCTCTAAAAAGCCTCACTCACCAGGATAACTTACAAAAATTAAGCCAAGAGGGACCAGCAGTTGGCATAATGGCTATGTTGCTGGACTCTCATGTAGTTGACCATAGTTCGAGTTCTGGACCTGGTGGCTTAAACTCACTGAGCGCCTGTGTATGTGTGTATGCCCAAGATCCCAAGAGAGTGGAGGAGAAGGGATTGCAGTGTGGCCATCAGCCCAGGGGGTGATTTCTCGCTTTCAGTCTCTCTGTCTCTGTCTTTCTGGTGAGTACACATGCCCTATAGGAAAAACCTCTCCAAAAAAATATATAAATAAATAAAAAATAATTAAGCCAAGGCTAGGGGGAGGGGAAAAATGATTTTAAACATTAGTTTTACTATTATCCTTAAAAGAAATTCTTGTTACCAGTATCAAATTAGTCACTTTTGCAAAAGCTGTGACCATGGTACGTACTCGGTAGCCTCCAATAACCAAGGTGTGATTTCTCAAGTATTTGGCTGTATTGTCAGGGTTGCTATGCAGTCCCATTGTTAATTTTTATTAACCTATAAAAGGGGAAAACTGTGTATAATTTATTATGATTTTTTTTAAAGAATTATTTTATTTAAATTTATTTATTATTATTTTCCAGTTTGATCAGAGAGGGACAGAGAGAGAGGAAAAGTGAGAAAGCAAGCCACCAGGTCTGGGATTTGAACGATGGTCTGCCATGTGGGAGTCTAGCACCTTTAGTTACCATGCCACCTGCTGACCCCTATTATTATTTTTAAAGTTTGTTTATTTCATGAAGGAGGAAGACAGGCAGTCCCAATGGTTTTTAGGCTGTAATCCACTGCATCTCAGCCAGCACAGATCACAGTGATGGGTGTGCATGTATCTGTGCCTAGGGAGGTCCCGAGATATGAACCCAGGACCTTTCCTATGTGGATCTAATTGTATTACTGCTACACTAACACTTGGCCCTGAAAATATGAAATTTATTAATGAAGGTTCCAAAATGGCCACATTGCTGTGGGACCATAATAATTCCAGTGTGATTAGGGCTTCTTGCCAAGTCATGATTTAAGAGCCCTACATGACTTGCCCCCTGCCTCTCTCTCTAACCTGCTCGTCTCCTTCCCCCACCCCTCAGCTTTGCTGTAGGGCATGTGTGCTCACCAGAGAGAGCAAGAAATCGCCCCACAGGGGATGGTCATACTGTAATCCCTTCATCTCTGTCTCCTTGGGATCTTGGGCACACATGGACATTGCACCCAATGTGATTTTTCAAGTTGACAGGTCTGGGACTCCAACCATACAGTCATGTGGGATCCAGTGCCTTAACCTCCACGCTAGCTGTTGGTCCCTCTTTTCCCATTTCTATCCATTCACTATGATCCAGGCCATTCTGCTCTCTGAATATGCCTTGCCTATTCCTACGTTAGGGGATAAGCACCTACTAATGGTGGTTATAGTAATAATTTAGCCCTCACAACCTATGACACGTATAAGTACTATTAAGTCTTTTTACAGATGGAGAAACTTAAGACATAAAGAGGGTGTCTCCCAGGTCACAGCTAATAACTGGCCGAACTGGGATTTGAACCCAGGCAATCTCGTTCCAGATCTGCTTTATTTCTCTTGTTTAGTGCTGTGTTCATAGTGCCTAGAATCGTGCTTGGTACAAAGAAGAGCTCAACAGACTTTTTTGTAAATGACAGAAATATGTGCAATGGGAGCAAATGAGGCCTAGCTCCTACCACTGAAAGATGGGTGGTGGCAGTCGGGGTGACTTTCTGGAGGAGTCTGTTTCTTCTAAAGATTTATTTAATTTGAGACCACCAGATAGTGTAATGGTTACATCAGTGGACTCTCATGTAATTGACCCTAGTTCGAGTCCCAGACCTGGCTGCTTAAACTTATGTCAGGCGCTTGTGTGTGCATGCTCAAAATGCTAAGAGGAGAATAGAGGAGAAGGGACTGCAGTGTGGCCATCCTCCCTGGGAAAGGGGGTGGTTTCTCTCTTTCTCTGTCAGTCTCTGTCTCTCTGGTGAGCACAAGCACCCTATAGCAAAAATCTCTCTAAAAAAAGAAAAAAAAAAGATTTATTTATTGATCCTTGTTTATTATTTTTATATTTGCTACAGGGCACATGTGTCACCGGAGAGAGAGTAAGAGAGAAAGCAAGCCACCAGGTCTGGGATGCAAACCATGGTCAGCCATGTGGGAGTCCAGTGCCTTAACCACCACACCACCTGCTAGCCCTGGAAGAGTCCATTCTTTTTTTTTTTTTTTTTTTTTTTTTGAGGCTTTATAGGGCGCGTGCGCTTGCCAGACAGAGAGAGAGACATAGAGACAGAAAGCGAGAAATCACCCCCCCAGCGGGGATGGTCACGTCGCAATCCCTTCTCCTCCATTCTCCTCTTGGGATGTTGGGCCCGCACACACACGTGCCCGGCGTGAGTTTTAAGCCACTGGGTCCGGGACGCGAACTACGGTCGACTACATGGGAGTCCAGCGACATAGCAATTACGCTAACTGCTGGTTCCCGAGGAGTCCATTCTTTAAATGGAGATATGACAGGTGATTTGGAATTAGAAAAACTGGGTGAGACAAGGGAAGAGGGACACAGGCAGAAGAAATGGCAAATTCAGAGACTTGGACTTCACCATGCTCTTTCCTCTAAACTTTGTTGCCTTGAGCTATTCAGGAAGAAGAAGCTTTGGCAAAATTTTGTTAACTTCTCAATCTTTTGTAGGGGACCTTCTGAGAAGCACGCTGAACATATGACTCCACAGCATTTGCTGGCAATCCCTTCCTTGTAGAATCCTTGCTCCTGAATATGTTCAAGAAAGTTTCTTAAAGGAAGAAAAAATTATTTTACTTGAAAGTTACCTGTTTGCCATAGAAATTGGTGTCTCCCCTGAAGGAAGATCGAGAGCCAGTGAATGAGAACATTGGCAAAGGCACTGGAATGGGGACATTCACTCCCACCTACAGCAGAAAAAAAATCCACGTCAAACACTAAGCAACGGACTCAAACAACAGAACTCTCCTTTGAGAAGCACAAAGGCATTAGAAACTAGTTTTAAATACCCACTTTCCCCTCCATGAACTTTATTCCTAAGGAAGTAATGTGGCATTGTGGTAGGTTAGAGGGACAATCCTTAAACAAGCTACAGTGGCTGATCAGAGTTTACTGTCTCCTCTTAGGAAACAGCAATTGGCTGTTAGAATCTCATAAAGATTCCGTTCACACACCTGTCCGACGTCCACCAGGTGGGAATATTTCCGAGCGGTGGCTCCGTTGGTGGTGAAGATGGCAGTTCCGTTTCCATATGGGTTATCATTTACAATCTTGATGGCTTCATCCAATGTCTCTGTCTCCAGAACCACAAGAACTGGACCAAAAATCTCCTCTTTGTAACAGGTCATATTTGGCTGCCAGGAGTGATGCATCCAAAGAAGTTAGGTTTTGGATTCTGGGTATTTTATTCATCCATTATTTATTTGTCCATCATTTATATGGACAGCTTTTATAACAGCAATCAGTTTTCACCTTAAACCACCTATTAAACAAGTTCTCTCTGTGTTACTTCTTCCAAGCTAACTGCATAAACAACTGAAAATCCCCAGTAACTACAACAGTCCTGTAAGTACTGCATTTCAGTTCATGACCCATAGCTTCCTTTTTAATATCTGCAAAACTTGTTTTTTACATTTGTTATATTCCTAAAACTACATATATAAAATACACTCAGAGAATATTTCTGTTTCCAGGAACCCTGTGCTAAGTTTTTTTTTCTTTTTTTTTTTGAGAGGTTTTTGCTATAGGGTGCGTGTGCTGGCCAGACAGAGAGAGACAGAGAGATAGAAAGCGAGAAATCACCCCCCAGGGGGGATGGCCACGCCGCAATCCCTTCTCCTCCATTCTCCTCTTGGGGATCTTGGGTACGCACGCACAAGCGCCTGGCGTGAGTTTTAAGCCACCGGGTCCCGGACGCGAACTGCGGTCAACTACGTAGGAGTCCAGTGACATAGCCATTGAGTATTCCTACAAATGTGGTCATTCACATCTTCATTTATAAATTAGAGGGATGAGATTCCATAGCCTCTAGGGCGCCTTCAACTCCCATAATCATAAAATAACAAGATTAGTTTACCTTGACATTTGAGATGATGGTTGGTCCAACAAAATTGCCATTTTCATAGCCTTTGACTTTAATTTTTCGCCCATCAAGAAGGATGGAAGCCCCCTCCTTTGTTCCACTATCGATCAGATTACAGACTCGTTCTTTGGCCTGGGGGCTGATCAGAGGGCCAAGATCAGCTCCGGGCTGGTCTCCTGTAAAACAACATAGAAGTAAGGCTTCCATTAACATAAATTATGAGTACTAACAAATGAATAGTGCAATATAAAGAGAGGCCATGGCAATGGACATGATTGCTCCCACTGGCCAAGTCTCAACAGTGGAGCTTTAGTGCCACAGATGTAATGTGTAAAGAACCCAGGAGCCCTGATGGCCATGCAGTAGTAACACATGACACTGTGAGGCTGACCTCCATTGGAGGGTTCCTGGTTCACTTCTGGAGAACCTCCCTGAGCACGCACGGTGCCAGTATACCCTGATCTGGGGCTGGCCAAAGCTGGGGGTGGATCATAGTGTTAGGATTCTGCTGAGGATGCTATCTCTCTCTTGCTCATGGAAGAAATAAACTAAATATTAAAAAAAAAAAAAAAATTTACTCATTATTTAATTTGGTAAGAGAAGGAGAGAAAGAGCAAGCTGCCAGGTCCAAGACTTGAACCATGGTCAACCATGTCTAAGACCAGCACCTTAACCACCATGCCACCCACTGGCCCCACAATACATTTTTCCTAAAAAGCTAGCCGGGTGCCTGACTACCTGCATTGACTCTTAGGTTTTTGGCACGCTCCACCAGCTCTGGCAGCCACTTCTTAGCATCTCCCACAAGGATTGCTGTCGAAAGAGCCATGCAGCGCTGACCAGCAGCTCCAAATGCTGCTCCAACCAGCTGGTTCAGGGTATTTTCCTTGTTGGCATCTGGCATGACTACTCCGTGATTCTTGGCTCCCTAAAGAAATATAGAAAGTCTTTCTTAAGCCGAGTAAATTAAGCTATGAAATTAAAGAACTTAAAGATTTTTTCCTTTTTAAAAAAAATTTGCTAGAGGTAGGACCAGCAGATGGCATAATGGTTTCATCACTCGACCCCTACATAGTCAACCACAGTTCAGGTCCCGGACTCTGTGGCTTAAAACTCACGTTAGGCGTGTGTGCACACATGCCCAAGATCCCAGGAGGAAATGGAGGAGAAGGAATTGTGCTGTGGTCATTCCCCTGGGGGGTGATTTCTGCTTTTTGTCTGTCTCTCTTTTTCTGTTGTGCACATGTGCCCGATAGCAAAAATCTCTCTTAAAATTTTTGCTAGAGGGCACATGAGCTTACCAGAGAGTTTTGGGGTGGTAAGAAAGCACCTGTTGAGACTAACAGTTGGTGTAATGGCTATGTCGCTGGACTCCCATGACTGCGGTTCAAGTCCTGGACCTGGTGGCTTAAACTCATGCTGTGCATGTGTGCATGTGTGTCCAAGATACTCAGAGGATAATGGAGGAGAAGGGATTGTGGCGTGGTCATCCCCCCTTGGCGGTGATTTCTCGCTTTCTGTCTGTCTTTCTAGCGAGCGCATGCGCACTATAGCAAAAATCTCTCAAAAAAAAAAAAAAAAAAACACAAGTATCCTATAACAAAAATATCTAAAAAAAAAAAAAAAAAAAGCAAGCACCTCTCATGGGAATGGTCATGTCATAATCCCTCCTCCTCCATCTCTCCTTTTCAGATTTTGGTACCGTGCACATATGCCTGCTATATATATATATATTTTTTTTTTTTGAGACGTTTTTGCTATAGGGCCCGATATGATAAATATGATCAATCATCCCCCCGGGGGATGGCCACACCACAATCCCTTCTCCTCCATTCTTTCAGGGTTTTGTGCACACATGCACATGGTGTGAGTATTTTTTTTAAAAGAATTATTTAACTTCATTTATTATTTTAACTTGACCAGGGAGGAACAGAGCAGAAGAGTTGAGAGCAAGAGAAAGAGAGCAGAAAGTGGTACGAAGGATAAAACAGGTCCAGAATCAGATTTTGGCCATTACTGCAAGTCACCAGGGTCCAGGCCTTAACTGTGGTCAGCCATGTGGGCGTCCAGCACTCTTAACTACCACGCCACCTGCTGACCCAAATGCCTGCTGTGAGTTTTAAGTCACTGGCGTCAGGGACTTGAACTGCGGTCAACTACAGGAGAGTTCAGCAACATAACCATTCCGCCATCTGCTGGTCCCTTGATATGTAATTTCTAGGAAGAGGTTACCTAAATGCACTTGCTTCTAGATACATAATTTCCTATACTTCTTTTCCAAGTAGGATGACATTAAGGTCATTTCCACATGTTGTGTTTCCAGATACAATTACAGTTGAGTACATGGATAGGGACCATGTCTGCTACTCAATTTTATCCCATGGGCCAGCCTGTGATGGTATAGGTAAGGTGGCTAGATTCCACATGGCCTTTTGCAGTTTGAGTCCTTAACTTGGTGGCTTGAGAATGATGTGTGTGTGTGTGCACGCGCTCGTACGCGAGCCCAAAATCCAGAGAGAATGGAGAAGAAGGGATTGTGGTTTGGACATTCCCCTGGGAGTGAGTTTTTACTTTCTTTCTTCTTCCTTTCTCCCTGTGTCTCTCTAGCAAGAGTATGTGCCCTGTAACAAAAATGGAAAAAAAAAAATAATAAAAGAACCCATTACACAAAATGTTGAACAGATGAACAGAGAATAAATAGGTAGAAAACGGAAGATTATAAGTCATGGCCCAAACACATTCAGCCATGAAAAATAAGTGGGCTTGGGCAGGCCCTATCATGCAGAGGTTAAGCCCTCTGGATAGGGAGCCAGATCCCATACGGCCAACCGTGGTTTGATTCTTAGCCCTGGTGGCTTAAAAAATACACCAATGCACGCACACATGAGTCCCAAATCCTGACACAATAGAGAAGGGCAGGAGGAAGGATTGTGGTGTCACACCCCCTTGGCAGAGTTCTTTCTCGCAAGTGCACACAGTTTAGCAATTTTAAAAACAAAAAGTGGCCACGTTATGCAGTGGCCTTGTTATGAACAGTTTCTAAACCTGTGCATAGGTGGCTATCCTTTGCATAACAGCAGCTGAAAGAGGAGAGGTGAGAAACACACAATAGGTCTTTACACTGAGTATCAAAAAGCTGCTAAGTATTTGGTAGAAAACTCGTGCAACCAAGTAAACCACACGTATTATGCCAGTGTTCTAAATAGCCTGGACACTCTGGGAAGAGCATATCTTTGACATTAGTTGTTAGGATACGTCGGAAAAGAAGGACAGATAAAGTGCTAGAGGCATGGTATGAAGGATAAAACAGGTCCAGAATCAGATTTTGGCCATTACTGCAAAAGCCTTAAGAATTTGAATAACCGGGTGCGTGTGTGTGCGTGCCCAAGATCTGGAGAGGAGAATGGAGAAGAAGGGATTATGGTGTGGCCTTTCTGTCTCTCTGTCTCTCTGTCTTTCTGGTGAGCGCACAGGCCCTATAGCAAAAACCTCTCAAAAAAAAAAAAAGGATCTGAGTAACAACCTTAGGGAGGAATGGCATCCTTTGTCACCAAGATTAGCTGTATATTGTAACAGTTGATTAACACAACTTAAGATAAAACTCCTTACAAAGGTCCTGGTTAAAGAGAAGACATTCACAATCAGATAGAAATGAAGAAATACTGGCATTAGACTGGAATGAATAGCCCCTCTGCTGAAGGGCTGTTCTTAAGTAATTTTACGACCCCTAACAAAGTTTGGGGAAGAAAGGAATAAGAAGTCACCATGTTGGCTTGAACCCTCTTGCCATGTCTTGATCCTCTTTCAAAGATGTACTCTCCTGCCTGGTTGGATCCCACAAAGCTGATTGCTTTGATGTCCGGATGATCACAAATAAAATTCACAGCTTTAAACAGAAAATAAATAATCACCACAAAGAAATGAATGGCCACAGGATTCCCAACATGACAAATTGCCCCTTTCCCATTGCTATGAGTTAGAAATTGTCATACACTTGTTTTTTCTTTTTCTTTTCTTTTTTTTTTTTTTGAGAGATTTTCACTGTAGGGCGCGTGCGCTCGCCAGACAGACAGAGACATAGAGACAGAAAGCGAGAAATCACCCCCCAGGGGGGATGGTCACGCCGCAATCCCTTCTCCTCCATTCTCCTCTCGGGATCTTGGGCACGCATGCACACGCGCCCGGCGTGAGTTTTAAGCCACCGGGTCTGGGACACGAACCACGGTCGACTACGTGGGAGTCCAGCGACACAGCCATTACGCTAACTGCTGGTTCCCCATACACTTGTTTTTTCTACACTGTATTCCTATTGTGGCGTTATTTCCTTACATGCTTCCTTCACTTACATTCTTTAAAGGATAAATTCTACTTAGGAGCCAGCAGGTAGTGTGGTAGGTAAGCACTGGACTCCCAAATGGCTGACTATACAGTTCGAGTCATGGACCTGGTAGCTTGCTTTCTCACTTTCTCTCTCTCCCTGGCTCTATCTGGTGAGTGAATGTGCTCAATAGCAAATTAAAATAATAATAATAAATGAAATAAAATATATAATACTTTTATTTTTTTAAAGAGGATTTTTGCTATAGGGCATATGTGCTCACTGGAGAGAGAGACAGAAAGTGAGAAATCATCCCCTAGAGGGGTGGCCAATCTTTTTTCCTCCTAGGATTTTGGGCATGCATGCATATGAGCCCAGCATGAATTTCAAGTCTCTGGGTCTGGGACTCGAACTGTAGTCGGCCATGTAGGAATCCAGTGGCTTAACTACTACACCACCTGCTGACCCCCCAAATAAATAATCCTTAAAAAAAAAAGTCAATTTAGTCTCTTTCCTTTTATTATTTTTTTCACTTGCTATTCCACAATTTCCAGGATCTCCATTTCTAACCTGACTGTGAAGGTTACGACTCCTATTTTTCTCCAAAATAAGTCTTTCAACACTCAATTCCCTTTCTGTTTTTTAATTTTGTTTATTATTATTTTTTTGCCATAGGGCACATGCCTTTCTGCATGTTACCTTCATGCTGTCCGTGGATGATGTTCAGTGTACCATCAGGTGCACCAGAGTCCTGCAGCAACTTAGCAAGAAGCATAGTTGCTCCAGGGACTCGCTCGGATGGCTTCATGAGGAAAGTATTTCCACACACCATGGCCATCGGGAACATCCAAAGGGGAATCATGGCGGGAAAATTGAAGGGAGCGATCCCTGCACACACCCCCAGAGGCAGGCGGTAGGAGTAAAGGTCCATGTCTTTGGTGATGGATGGCATAGTCTCTCCCAGCAAGAGAGACGTCACGCTACAGGCATGTTCAACCACCTCTGGAACAAAGAAGTAGTAGTGAGGCCGCCAGCTCTTCACACTGCACACTACTTAGCTTTGTCACACTCTGTTCAGTCTGTTCAGTCCTGAAGAGGAAGTGGCTCGGGGACCTGACAGAGGGAGAAACGCTGACTTATCCCCCCACCCCCCCATGTGAGGGGCTTGTGCAAAATGAGATTCTCTGAATGGGAAAAAGGCATCAAAATGCATCTCTCTACTGGAAGAGCATTTGAATGAAATGAAAATGAAGTAAATTAATCTCATTGATACCTGACAGGTACTACCATTTTTCACAGGTATTAAGAAAGATATCATGGGACAACAAAATCTAAATATATGATGATGCAAGCTCCCATTCTGGGATCTGTGCCTCCCACCTTCCTTCCCAAAAGTCCCCTGAGGGCTCCCAGCTTACGAAGGCCTCGAAATACATCTCCTTCAGCATCAGCTAGGGTCTTCCCTTGTTCCAATGTGATTAATCTGGCGATTTCTTTCTAGAAAGAAAATAGAAACTAATGCAAAGATGTTCCTCCTTTTCATGCTTTGCTAGCTAAGAAAGAGCAAAACAGAGAGAGACACAGTACGAGGGACAGCGCCATGTTCAATGTCTCTCTGTGTTGCACAGCTAGGGAGGGCAGCTGAAAAGGTCTTTGTGGGAGTGACGAGCATCTCATAGGCAACAGTTTAAAAAATGTACCCCTCAGGGAACTAGCAGTTGGCGTATGTCGCTGGACTCCCATGCAGTTGACCGTGGTTCAAGTCCCAGACCCAGTGGCTTAAACTCACACCGGGTGTGTGTGCATGCATGCCCAAGATTCTGAGAGGAGAATGGAGGAGAAGGGACTGCGGTGTGGCCATCCCCCCAGGGGGGTGATTTCTCACTTTTGTTTCTCTGTCTCTCTCTGTTCTCTGTCTCTTTGGTGAGCGCACAAGCCCTATAGCAAAAAACCTCTCAAAAAAAATAAAATGTACCCCTCAGACTTCTTACCAAATTTTCCTTAATAAGTTGTTGATAGCGAAGCAGGACCTGTTGACGACTTAATACTGAAGTGTCTGCCCAGGCTGGAAAAGCACGTTTGCAGGAAGCAACGGCTGCATCCATTTCAGCCTTGGTGGCCTGAGGGACCCGACCAATTACCTCATTGGTGGCCTGATGGGAAAGAGAAGCACATCATACTTTGTCCCTGCACCACATCTCCATTTTCATCTGCTCATAGAGGTGGCACTACGTGCTTTACGACAGATACCCAGGCCCCTACCTTCACATCATGTTCCCAGAATTCTAGACACATCAGTTTAAAATCTCAAAGCATATTTGCTTACCGGGTTGTGGATGTCTATCCATTTGTCACTTTTGGATTCAACAAATTTCCCATCAATGAAGAGCTTTACAGTTGGCTACAAAACAAACAGGAAATGAAACATACAAACAACTTTGTATTAGTTAGTTGCTTTGTCTCTCCCTCTTTCACAAAGAAGAAAGAACTCAAGTTGATAACTGAATTTATTGGTCTCTAGAAATGGTACCCCTAGGAAAGAGACACAATATCCTTGTCTATAGTGTATGTTAGGGTGCGGCAGAGCCTCTCAGTTCTGTGATCTCTGAGAACTGTGAATTCCCTGCTATTCATACAGTGGCACTTCATGAGTAAGTCGCTGTGAAGTTATATTAAAGAGCAGCAGATCTGTGTTAACAAAGATGAGTTATTATGACTTGTTGGTCCAGCTGACTTTCTATCACATTATCATAATCATGTGTCACCTCTATGATCAAATTGATTTTAAAATGTTTCCATCTCTTTATGTTTCCTTCCTGAGCAGTAGATTGCTTTTTCCAAATTTTCAAAGGCCTTTGTGAACCAAAATGGTGAAGAGCTACTGTGAGCCTACTTCTATATGGGATAGATTTTATTTTTTAGATATTTTTTGCTATACAGCGCGTGCACTCGCCAGAAAGACAGAGAGAGACATAGAGATACGAAGCAAGAAATCACTCCCCAGGGGGAAGGCCACGCTGCAATCCCTTCTCCTTTCTCATCTCGGAATCTTGGGCACGCACACACATGCACCCGGCATGAGTTTTAAGCCACTGGGTCTGGGACTCGAACCGCGGTCAATTACGTGGGAGTAATTAACATAGCCATTACGCTAACTGCTGGTCCTTTTTTTTTTCTTTTTTCTTTTCTTTTTTTTTTTTTTATGTGGAATAGATTTTAAGCAGTCCTTATTTATTAGGTTGTAGGTACTGCAAATGACTGATAGACAGATGGTCTGTAAAAACAATCCCAAAGGTTATTAAGAAAAGGGGCCAGGGGATCAGCAGGTGGTATGGTGGTTAAGACACTGGACAGTCCCACATGGACAACCACAGTTTGAGTCCCAGACCTGGTGGCTTGCTTTCTCACTTTCCCTCTCTCTCTGGTCAAATTAAAAATTTAAATAAAGAAATAATTCTTTTTTAAAAAAAGAGACTAGTCTTTTAAAGAAAAGAAAAGAAAAGGGGCCAGCAGAGGGTGTGATGGTTAAGGGTGCTGGACTTCCACATGACTGACCACACGGTTCAAGTTCTGGACCTGGTGGCTTGCTTGCTTTCTCTGTCTGTCTGTCTGTCTGTCTCTCTCTCTCTTCCTCTCTTGCTGTGTCCCTCACTACTCAAATTTTAAAAATTAATAAATAAAGTTAAATAAAATAATTCTTTAAAAGAAAAACTGGGGCCAGCAGGTGGCATGGTGGGTGAGGTGCTGGACTCCCATACAGCCGATTGTGGTTCAAGTCCTGATCCTGGCGGCTTGCTTTCTCAATTTCTCTCTGTAGTCAAATTAAAAATAAATAAATAAATAAAATTAAATAAAGAATAAGTCACACAGAAATAGGAGTTCAAAAACTAAGAAAATGGCCAACTTAATCATAGGGACAGGTCTGGAGTTGAGTATTATATCCCAGAATTTAATCGGGAAAATCAAACCACAGCAGAAGAAGTACATGAGACTGAATTGGTGAAATAAAATTTTATGACTTTTGACTAAAACATTGCTGATTTTCTTCTAGGCTTTGTTGTCTGGTTTTAAAGCTTTGTGTCCTGTCTTAAGATGCCAACAGGTTCATGTACCTACCATTTGAACAGAATCCTAACCTGTTTCCTGGCTTTAAGTTTTAAGCAAAGTTCCTTAGGATTTCTTTGATTTAAGTTAAAACTGCTTTTCTTGAAATTACCAGCTGAACTTGCTATTGAAAGTAGTTAGATTATTTAAGAAATTGTGTGATCAATATAATGTAGGGGAAAAGGAATGGAAGACAACTGTAGACACCAGAGATAGTGTGAGAAGAGGGTAGGAAAGGGCAGAGGGTCAGAAATAGTAGTAAAAAAAAAAATTATATACATACATATATACATATATGTATATGAAACTAGAAATGGAAAATTATTGGCGATAACATGCATAATTAAGCCACTATGCAGTATATTCTGGATGGAAAATCACATTTTGTATGCTGCGACGATGCTTAGGGAATGAATGTAAATTAATTAAGTTAAAAAAAAAAGTTTGAGGAAAAAAATATACTAAAACTTTTTCTTGAAATTAAAAAAAAAAGCATTAAAAATACCTATTTGATGACTGCAGTAAGCTATATAGCCCCAGTTAGGTGCTACTTTATAGTATGTTCATTCTATTCACTGAGGTTTATGCCTAAAGTCAGACTTGTGTTCATGGATATGTATATATCACCTGTGCTCCCTATTCAAAATATTTAGATTAATTAACATCTTTAGTGAATTAATAAAATGTGGGGAGAAAAAGGCATAAAAAGCAACCAGAGATACCAGAGATAGTGTGGGAGGAGGGTGGGAGATGGCAGAGGGTGAGAGATAGGGAATCAAGGATAGGAAAAAAAACTAAAATATACAGGAAATAAGAAATGGAAAATTATTTGTTGACGGGAACACATATGTTGATGTGCTTGATTGAGCCAATATACAGTGTATTCTAGATGGAAAAAACTCAATTTATATGCTGTAATGATGTACAGTGAATGAATGTAAATAAATAAATTTAGAGAAAAAAAGAAAAAAATGTATGTTTTATAAGATGAAGAACTAAAATAATCTAAATAGTTTTTTTTTCTTTTTTTTTTTTTCAGATAGATTTTTGCTACAGAATGCATATGCTCACTAGAGAGAGAGACATAGAGACAGAAAGTGAAAAATTACCCCAAGAGGGGATGGCCATGCCACAATCCCTTCTTCACACTCCTCTTGGGATTTTGGGCATGCACGCACATGAGCACAGTGTGTTTCAAGCCACCAGGTCCAGGATGAGGCCCATGGGTGGCCATATGGGAGTCCAGTGATGTAACCATTATGCCATCTGGTGGTCCAAAAACAATCTAACTGTTGCATGAAGAAATTATTGGTTTATTCAAGTACATGTATTTGATGAAATATTATGCAACCATTAAAAATTGTAATTATAGGATCTAGCAGATCTCTATAGTTCCAGATCCCTATAGATCCCAGAAGAAAACCAAGATAGAGAGGAGAATGGAGGAGAAGGGATTGGGGCATGGCCGTTCCCCACAAGAGGGTGATTTCTTGCTTTAGTCTCTCTGGTGAGCGCATATATCCTATAGCAAAAATCTCTCTCTCTTAAAAAAAATTCTTTACTATAAAGGCCATCTTACAGGGGACCAGCAGGTGGCATGGTGGTTAAAGCAGCTGGACTCCAACATGGCTGACCGTGGTTCAAGTCCTGGACCCAGTGGCTTGAAACTCATGCTGGGTGCATTTGTGTGCATGCCCAAAATCCTGATAGGAGAATAGAGAAGAAGGGATTTCAGCATGGCCATTGCCCCTGGGAGGTGATTTCTAGCTTTCTATCTGTTTGTCTCTCTCTGCCTCAATGGCGAGCATATGCCATCGAGACAGAGAGAGACAGACAGATAGGAAAAAAATCTCTCAAGAGAGAAAAAAAGAAACCATTTTACAGTACTGAAAATGCAACAGACAATAATATTAGAAAAGAAAACTAAAATAGAGGGACCAGAAGGTGGCATGGTAGTTAAGATGCTGGACTTCCTCATGACTGACAGAGGTTTGAGTCCTGGAACTGGCAGCTTGATTTCTCACTTTCCCTCTCTTTCTCTATCTCTCTCTGATGAATTAAAATAATAATAATAATAATAATAATAATAATAAATAAAACTAA